ATGTGGGTGTGTTTGGAGGACTTGGTCAGAAGCCGAGCACAGGCATTCTGAACCACCTGTAGACGGTTCAGGGAGGTTCTGTCCCAGAGTGGGACAGCACAGAACTTTACAGGTTACCATGGGTGAGGGAGTTTGTGGAGGACTGAAACTTGGAGACGGCCACAGAGAAGGCACGCTCAGATAATAGTAGCAGAAATATCAAAACATACCCCAGGTTTGACTAAAATGTCTGCTAAATGCAGCACTTTTGTTACTTCTGAGCTAAAGGTTTGCTGTAAAGCCGCCTGCTTGGAACTGAAAGGGGCTAGTTAGCGTAACCCTTACCCTAACCCTAACCCTCTGCATGATTCCAAACAAGTGTGATGTTCTTGTTAAAAGCATCGTACAATGATTTCTATTCTTTTTGCCCAACACTTAATAAAGAGAATAGTAGTGATTCCCTGTAAATAATGGAACATTTAAAACATAATAACACAAATAAACATTTGACCTTAGAGGTCATGATTCTGCAAGGCTCAACAAACTCTATGTAGGAGAAAAGCTGCTAAAGTAGCCGTCTGTATTTAGCTAAATATCAGAACAGACTGCGTCCCACTCAAGACTAGTCATTTACTCTTTTGTTCAAGTGTATTATTGATCATTTGTTAATTAATAAGGCAAATGCAACCACAGCGTGAGGTATAACTTTTAGATTCGGAAAGAAAATTCTATTTAAAATCTTTTATCTGTTATTTTTACCATCTTGTGCTATTTGTTTCATTTCTATCCTTGTTTAGTTATTAACAGACTTTACTAAACTAAACGTTTCCCAAACTAAACTCTGTTTTTCACGTGTTTCAAAAATAAAATGATCAGGAACGCCCAATGATCATTCATCCCATCGTGGAGATGGATGATTCCAACAGGTCCCTTTATCACACACCAGAGCTCCAGAGGCCACACGACTCATCTCCAGCACATTCTTAAAAAATGTCTCCCCCTTTTCCAGCCTTTCTCTCAGTGGGAACTATGTGGCCCAGGGGCAGAACGGGAGTCATCGCCTCCCTCAGAACGTCCTCTCCACTGAGTCTTTATACGGCTAGATTTACTGTGCAACAGAATCTATAAAACCATTTAATGAGGTTAATGTTGTTTGGTACACAGGCTTCAGTTGGCAGTAAACATGCTAGTTAGCTCACACAGAGGAGAGAGAGAGAGAGAGAAACAGAGAGAGAGAAACAGAGAGAGAGAGAGAGAGAGAGAGAGAGAGAGAGAGAGAGAGAGAGAGAGAGAGAGAGAGAGAGAGAGAGAGAGAGAGAGAGAGAGAGAGAGAGAGAGAGAGAGAGAAGATTCATTCTTCTGTTTAATTTACATTCTGAGCATTTAGGTGCATCTCCATTTTTATTTCAAACCCATATGTGATGAAAAATCTGCACCTAGAATAAACATGAGTCACGCACTGGGATAGCCCACATAAGATGTGATGTGATCATGACATCATCGAGGTGTCTGCAACAGTCTTAGTCACCTACATTATCAGACTGCCACACACACACACACACACACACACACACACACACACACACACACACACACACACACACACACACGCACACACACACACACACACGGCTAAAGTATGAGTGACGAGACATGCACCTCTGAGTTGTAACATGCATTACTTCAGCAGAAGGAAATGTGTTGTAAAAACATTAGATTCATTTTACACTTACAGCACCATCCTAAACCAAAGTGTGCTGGTCTGTTAAAATAGTTACATTAACTGGTCTGCCGTCTACTGTGGTGCTTTCTCTTAGCAGTGTTTCCAGCCACGGCGCCCTCAGGCAGCGGAGTGGACAGGATGTAGCCTCGGACCACCTGGCTGGCTGACCTGTGGCTCCCTGCAGGTTCTCACCTCTGTCTGATAAAGTGTTTTAGCACACCGTTGGCCTGTCCATGCTCCTGAAGGTATATCTCCTTTATCAGGCTCTTGGGCTTTGTCCCAGACCTCCCAGTACTACACGAGCGGACATCAAGTGTCCTCGTGACAAGTCAGGACCAGTTATGAACCTGCAAAGTTGCTTGCTGTCCAAAAAGAAAATCAGGTCCACAGGTGAATTCTGGTTAACGCCATAAAGTGTGCCATCATGTTAACCGTTTGGCTTGCTTTTTATGAATGGTATTACATTAAGCAGCTCACCTCATTTGATCTATGATGTGCAAAATGTATACGCCACTTTTTTTATTCAGTACAGCATTCTGTTGCTAAATACGTGAGTTCGTAACTAGTGAGGTTGCAAGGAAGTGCGGAAGTGCGGAGGTTTGGCAAGACTGACACCCGGATGGCCCAATGGTTGCTTTTGGTCCCTAACCCTAACCTTAACCCTAACCCAAGCTGCGTGGTTTTAGACAAATGTGAAAGAACCACATTATGATTTATTTTCATTTTTATTTTATCTCCACAACGTATTTATAGCTTAATGATGATGTTAGAACTTTAAGAGGCATGAAAAATTGTTTGAAGCTAATTTATTTTCCATATTTGCTGTAGCTTTAGGGCAAAATATAGTAATTCAGCCTGACCAAGGCCGGATTATAATATGGGCAAACTGGGCACAGACCCAGGGGCCCACAGCCACAAGGAGGCCCACGTGAGCAGCAGTCTTTATTTTTTTATTTTTATTTTTTTGTGCAGCAGTCTTAACGTTGGAGAAAAAGTTAACAAGTAATTAAACTTGCGCCAGCATTTTCTAAGTTAACACACATTTCTTTGAACAACTGTAGTTTTTGCATCTTTACTGCCTGCTTCAGCCATCTCCCCCCTCCCCCAGCGCAGCGGCCGCAAACTCACTGATGCACCTGCAGCCTCTCAGAGTTCCTGCTTTTCTAAACATTAAAAGAATAATTTCATTTTATGTTCCTCACTTCTGATTACCTTCAGTGGTGTCTGTTTGTTGCCACTAGGTACAAAAACGAGCTTGTTTTGTATTTGACTATTTTTCTGTCCTGTATGTTTATTATCTTCCTGCATCTCCTCTCAATCCTGAAGAAAAACTGCTACCTGGGTTCAAATATACTCACCTCATGAGTTGCCTTTGAACTGCAGTTCTAAAAGATCTACCGACCGCAAAAATAGCGGAGTGCGCGCCGGTCACACCGGTGCGGTGAAGTCACCGGAGGATGAAACAGGTGAGTGATGCGCTCGCTCCGCAGCAGCGAAACGCATCAGACACAAATAAAAGACAGAAAGCATGAAAGGATATGAGCCGACATGAACAATCGGGTGTAAAATTTGTTTTTGAGGTGGCGAGACTTTGATAATGTTACTGCGGCCATGCTCAGGATGCATCTGTCTGGAGCGCATAAACGATCAGAGCTCTGCGCCTCTCAGCTCTAAATAATCCCCAGAGAGTCCACATAGATAATTTAATATAAGCAGTACCAGGATCGTTTTCGGGCTAAAAAATAGTCTACAGTCCATCTTCCCTAATGTGTTTGTGGCCCTGCGGATTTTTCTAACTCTACCAGTTACAAATTGTGAAGGGGAACAATCATTTTCACAAATGGCAAGAATAAAAAATGAACTGAGAACAACACAAACCCAACAGCGCCTCAGTGCACTGTCACTGATGGCTATTGAATCTCAGCTTGTCAGGAATCTGGACTTTGATGACATTGTAAATGAATTTACTAATAGAAAGGCCAGAAAGCAGTTTTTCTGAAGGCAAGAGAGGAGACCAACAAGAGGAGACAAAAAGAGGAGTAAGGAGACAGGAGTCAAGAGGAGGAAGGAGACAGGATACAAGAGACAAGAGGAGGAAGGAAACAGGAGACAAGAGGAGGAAGGAAACAGGAAACAAGAGGACGAATGAGACAGGAGACAAGAGGAGGAAGGAGACAGGAGACAAGAGGAGGAAGGAAACAGGAGTCGAGAGGAGGAAGGAAACATGAGTCAAGAGGAGGAAGGAAACAGGAAACAAGAGGACGAATGAGACAGGAGACAAGAGGAGGAAGGAGACAGGAGACAAGAGGAGGAAGGAAACAGGAGTCAAGAGGAGGAAGGAAACAGGAAACAAGAGGACGAATGAGACAGGAGACAAGAGGAGGAAGGAGACAGGAGACAAGAGGAGGAAGGAGACAGGAGGACAATGTGCTTAGGGAGCCCTAAGCACATTGTGCCCAGGGGCCCCTGCAACGATAATCTGGCCCTGAGCCTGACTGTAAGTAAACCATTTTAAATATTTTTTTAAACATAGTCCCATGCATGTTCTGATGTGTAGACCCCCCCCCCCCCCCCAATGTGTAGACGGAACCATGGACAGAGATGAGGGGGTCTCCTCACTAGAACATGCATGGAACTGTGTCGTTGGTGAGGAGAGCGTGAAAATCAGAGATGGAAGTGACACCGCCATTAGCGGCTAGCTCTGATGAAGAATGCAGGAGTGATCGAAATTGTCAGCAAGTTAAAAACTTTTCCTGTGTTTAAAAAAAACTTTAAAATGCATTCAGAAGAAAAACACTCAAACACTCATACAAAAGATGTAAGTTAATCAGATGTAGATGATAAACATGAAACTGGCTTCAGATCTTCACTGCAGACTAAAGGTTGGAAGGAAAACTCGCGTTTAACAGGAAAAAGCCTCCAGAAACAGTCAGTAAAATACAGTAAAACAGACGGAAGTGTGTGACTTTTCTCTGATTTTCCACCTGATACCCTTTATAATCATATCTGATGCTCATCTTGGACACATCCTCTCAGAATTCTCTTTGAAGAGCAAACATTTAGTCCACTTTCCCTCCTTTTTGTCCACAGACAAAACCTAAATGGATTACAGACCAAATCTGTGAATGGGCTCTGCTTTAGACAAACACACGTACGGGTGGTGGTGGGGGTGTTCTCTGGGAGTCTGAAGTCATGCAGCCAGCCAACCAGCTCTCCTTGCTGAATAGATGCACCATCACCCACAGGCGAGGGGAGGCGCATCGGGCACCGAGCTGCTGGCTCGCTCTCTATATTCAGCTGCTCAGAGGCGCTCTGACACCATTCAGTCCAGAGTCCCACTCAGACAAGGACCTGCGCAGGCTGGAGCCCCGGACAGCACAACGCGGACCACTTGTAGTTTGGATTATTCCTATATGAGACCGGTTTATTCTACAATAAAGGCTGTGCACCTTACATCTAGCCTATGTTAAATGTTCTGAAAGAAAAAGGTCTGTTTTGGGGTGAAGCCTGATTTGTATTCTCTCTAAGGTGAAGGACAAGTGCAATGTGCGCCAGCCTGGTTTCTTGGAATAGTCTGACACGCGCCTGAGGAACTATGTCGTGCTGCAGCGCGGGGCTTGTTCAAGAGGACGCGCCTTCCACGTGAATAACGACCTCCAGCTCTGTCAACTTTTATTTATTTGCTCATTTAAGAGCGAAACAAGCGCAGCGGCGTGAGTGACCGCGCTGCCCGGACACCGCCGCTCTCCTCCGGGAGGGGATGGTTGTGGAGCCAGGAGCGACTCGGGGGCTCCTTCTCATCTGCGCGTTTTTCCTGTTTGGGGTTGCCTCTGAACTAAAGGGAGATGAGAGCCGCACTTTGTTACTTCCTGCTGTGGACGACGTACCTGCTGGCCACTGCTGAGGTAAAGAAATGATCGTTTTACAGCACAGCCAGAGTGGGAAACGGGGTCGGGGGGTTCCTTTGGTCTGGGGTTTATTCCTGAGAGGGAGCAAAGGTCTCCGGGAGACACACACACACACACACACACACACACACACACACACACACACACACACACACACACGCACGCACGCACGCACGCACGCACGCACGCACGCACACACACACACATGATACACAGTTAAATTCACCTGAGCAGATCTAAATGGGTTTATAGGAATGCCTATGAATTTCCTCTTCAATAGGAGCAACATTCGTTTAGTCGTTTACGCCTAATTAGTTTGAAGCAAACGGGGTTTACGCTGGCGCGTTCATGGGAACCGCTCCGGTGGATAAAAATAGCTGCAGGACCGCAACAAGTGCAGCGGGGTAGTCTGGCTGCAGTTCAGAGGCGTTTATGGTTTTATTAAGGACAGCTTTATCCATATTCATATACAATGAGTTTATTTTCATATCATAGATCAATAAAAATGAAAATTCTCGTCTGAAAATCCTATGAAATTACTTACTGGAGCGTGATAATAATTTGCGATGCGACTATCGTTATAATGGGCTGTTATTAAATATCAGGCACACGTAATTTTTTTGTTTCATGGTACTGTAGGCAGCAGGGCGGATCTGTTTCATATCTGAATACAGGCTGTTTATTTATCGTTATAAAGTCCTGACACGTTTCTAAACTCTCTCTCTTGTTTGACGAACGAAGGAAGCAGAGTTCCCCCAGGAGCTGATAGACCGACTCTCTAACAGTGAAATCCACAGCATCAGCGACCTCCAGCGGCTACTGGAGATTGACTCCGTAGGTAAATTCTGCCTCTTGATACTTTCTTACTCCCCCCCCCCCCCCCCCCCCCCCCCCCCCCCCCCACACACACACACCTCTTTCCTGGTCTTCTCTTCATTGAATACAACTTTAATTCTTTCCTGAGAGCATCTCTGACTCACTGATCACCATGTAGGGTTGTTTACATATATATTATATTAGACACATGCATTCTGCCATAGCCTGTGGCAAATCTTGGTTAAGGATGGTTTATCTGTGTGTAAGCCATAGCTGATGCATTTCCTGTACGTGCAATTAATGATGTATTTCACTGTCATTTTGGGCTTCAAACAACCACAACAATTGGAACAAGATTCCATCAAAATACGGAATCTTGTTTGGCTTTTTAATTCCATCCCTTCAAAAAGCTAAACTCTGGTCCTTCTTGGTGTTTTTTATTGACAGAACAAGGGCAAAACTAGCAGGTAGCATCAAAAGTAACAGTAAACCTGAACCCATACAGGTCAGTTTTACTTTAGCGAGATTTACCAAAGCCTTACCAGTGGACTTTTACCCAAAGAGGAGAAATAAATCTATTTTCTGACTCAACAGATAATCTTGCTATGCAGGTGAAGCTCAACAACACCAGTCAGTGACTCGATGCAACCCTCAAAATCTCAGACTATTCAAATATTGTGAAAAGGTTCAATATTCTAGACTCTGTGTCACACTCTAATCATCCATCCATCCATTGTCTCAACCCGCATGTCCACTCTGGGTTATGATGGCTGGTGCCTGTCTCCAGCAGTCTCTGGGCAAACAGGCGGCGTACAGCCTGGACAGGTTGCCAGTCTATCGCAGGGCAACACAGAGACACACAGGACAGTCATAGTTTTGGACAGTGGGAGGAAGCTGGAGTACCCAGAGAGAACCCACACATGCACAGGGAGAACATGCAAACTCCATGCAGAAAGCCACAACCTTCTTGCTGCAAGGCAGCGGTGCTAACCACTGCACCACTGTGCAGCCTCTAATCAGCTAAATTATCCAAAACACCTGCAAAGTGTTCCTGGACCTCAGTCTAAGGTGAATTACTAAAATAATGGACTTTTCTACCATATTCTAATTTTCCAGGTTTCATCTGTATTGATTTAATATTATTGTGATCAGATTTTCCCATGATTGAACAGTCCCACACAATGATCACAGTTTCAGTAGCAGCTGTAAATTAAGCCCAGTGCTTTATTGTTGTTTATTACAGTCGGATTGCTGTTGTTTTTGCTCTGTAACCAAAGTAAAAGTGACAGCAGGGTGGGAGGTTAAGCCACTCTCCTCCCTCCAGCTGTAGTTTCTTTAGCTGTTCCTCAGGGACTCTTCCAGACCATCTTAGATGACGTTACATTGGTTCACTGTAGGGAAGCTGTTTACCTTTACAAGAGCCTCTCTTTACACGCGCTCCTGTCTTAAATCACACCCGGCACTCCTCATGCTAGGATTTGCTGATGAAATAGGTAATCACAACAGTCCCAAGTGATAGGGGCTGCTTAACTAGGCACAACACCGGTGCTTTAACAGCTATAACACCCAGCTTCAATTATTTCACAGAAAAACGTCCTGCTCTCTGGAACCATCCCAGAATAGAGTCCCTGTAGCATGAGAGAAGGTGTTTCTAGTGAAATTAACACATCTTTCTTCAACCAGACTAACATTTTGCAGGGTAACAGTAGTAGGCTAATTATTATTACGAGGACATAAATCTGTCCAGAGGATCAGTTTGGTGGCCTTAACCAACCCGTTAAAGACCTTTTGACACCATCCAGAGGAGTATTTCCAGAGGTTTTGTTGATGGTGATCAGGACAAGAAGGCCACATACGCCCATGTGGATGGTACTCCAACCGGGAAGAACAAAGGAATGGTTGAGCTACTGATCTTATGGAGAAGGCTGGCTGGTCTCTGCAGCGCTGACTGTCTGTCTTTGGAAGGTTGGGTTCGTAAGTGACAACAGTGGACTTGAGGCAGTTCCAGCAACTGGTTCATTTAGTTCAGCTGTGCTAGGTGCAGGCTTACGTTTGTGCATTTGTTTTGCAAGGACCATGTCCTCACCTCTGACTGACAGATGAGATGACCCTGTTGAAGCCTGCAGATGGCTGTCTGGCCCCTGAGGTGATTCTCTCCTCTCCACTCCTGTCTCCCTCCTGAGGTGGCCCCTTGAATGCCTGCTCTTATCTCTTTCAGTGAAAAACTTTGACAGAAAGGGGAACCTGACTCTTGGCAAAGGGGGCAGAGGTGGAGGAGGGAGTTAGAGGCATCTGGAGGTTGTACTCCTGCTTCACTCAGAGAGGCCGCTAGTTGTTGTGCAATCTTCTTTGTGTCTGACAAGCCGACATTGTTTTTATCTCTTGCAGCACTAACTCTGAACCTACAGTGCTTCACACCTACCTTAGTTTGCATCCATTCATTGAAATAACCTTTATCAGCCCAGCCATATTGCTGTTGGAGGAGGAACTATAGAATCTCTTGTTTGGAGAAGCCTAAAACATTTAGGCTGTTTGTTCCCAGAGAAAGAGAACGAGAGCGGAGGAGAGGAGTGAAGGGAGGGAGTTGAGGCCTTCAGCTAATGGAGATGGTAATTTACCAGTCATGAAAGCCTGATTCATGGCAAGAGACTGTCTCCTGTCCTATTTTCTCCTGTCTCCGTTTTCAGGGCATGTTATTACCTATTAGTCACCTGGAACCAGTAGAAGATCAAACTCCTCTCTCCGCCCCTTTACTGTTTTTCTCCTCTCTCATCTTCAGCAGCTCCTCCAGCTCTACATCTCCTGACACATGATCTATGACTTTGTGCTGGACTCTATCGCTACTGTCCCCTCTGACAGACCCTGGCCAGCGTCACCTCTAAGTAGCTTATTGTAGCCTTGCTTGTAACTTAATTGTTACATCTTCGTTTCTAAGTGGACTAAAGTACTTCATAAACATAAACGGGTTCGGGATTTTCTGAGATGCACTTTTATAATCCTAAACTAGTCGCTCGGCAGTCTCCACAGTAATTCCTCTCTTTTCTGTGTGTGGCCAGAACATCAGACCCTTCTTTACTCCTGCCTTTCTTCTGACAGTAGGAGATAGTTATGGATACACGGGGTGGGATAGATGGAATCTCAGTGGGAGTCTGTGGTCCGGTGTGAAACTGGTGGTGAAGTCACTGAGCTGCAGCTACGAGAATGTCTAACAGTCCTGCAGACAGTGTGGGTGGATATTGCAGTGTTTGCAATATGTTCTGCTAATGTACAGTATGTACACGTGTCTCTAAGTGTACTGACCTGGAAGACAGATAGCTCAGCCCTTTGCTTAACTCCCAACTTTAAGCTGCAGGCAACACTTCCCTTCTGTGAACCCTTTGGTTCTGGGTCACTGGCTGCTTGACTGACTGCATGACAAACTGGAAGGAAATTCCCACAACCTTTTCCATAGGGGACTACATTGAAACCTGAAGGAAAGTTCTGGGATAAGAAAGGCATCAAAAAGCAAATAAACAACCGAACCCAATGGGTTGACCATGAGTTGGCAGAAGAAATCCTTGTAGATGATTCTGGTCAGAGCACAGAAAGGTTGGATGAGTGGAGCCTGTTTGCTCATGGTCAAGCTCTGTTAAGCATGTGTCTTTTAGGCTCTAACATGCTTTGAACGATAACGAGATGAGTTTGTCTGATTTTTAGCAGGTGTAATGGCACAGAATGGTGCTTACAGACAGGTAGACAGGTAGACCCACCCAGCTTGCAAACACTCTCAGACAGAGCGGTATCCTGCGGACGAGCTTTATCACTTTATTGCCTCTCTGGAACGTTTCTACAATCCAGCTTATGTTCTGGGCGGGGACCAAAACAGGCATTCCTTATCAAATAACCATGAATGTGAAAAAGCTGACCTGGCTGTACTGGTCTGGAGAAAGAGCTTGAAGAATTTCACATTGCAGGAGAGCAAAACATGCACTTTCCCAAACCACCGAGTGATTGAAAAGCAAACATTTTCAGTAAATGAGACATGCAAAGCCACTAATTAGGCCAAGAATAATAACGACTAGGCATTACCTGTCCACCGTGTGACTCTGAGAGCTGTTTGTTTTTTAACATTCCTGTTGACTCATATGCATCGTCTGGCTACTTTTATTCCTGCTAAGAAAGTTCAGCCGAGTCAGTGAGGGAGGCTGATGATTACACACCAGTCTGTGTAAAGCTGAGCCTCCCATTTCTGTACTCTGAACTGTTTACTTCAATTTGTGACACCTCAGAAGTTGCCGTGCCAGAAAGTACAAGTGATCTGTTGCCCTTTCAGTGAATCAAACATTATACAAGTCAAAAGTTACCGTCTTACTCTGGTCGAGGGACTAACCAGCAGTTTGTGGAATGGGTATATAACGCACCAGCAGTAGATCACTCGTCACCCGCCTTCGGTGAGGTCTACCAAGTCCCCCACTGCTACCATTACAGTCAAAACTGCTTTATGCGATTACTTCTTTCTGTTCACATTATTAACAAGGTGTATTTTATTTTTTTGATGAGGTACGGGAAACGATGTGATCGAGGAGCACAAATACCGCAAGCATCACAACCATCATAAGAACTTCTCTCATCACCATGGTTACTACAATGGGCTGAAGAACTCGCAGCTACACAGCAGGCGCAAAAGGAGCATTGGTAAGACCATCAGAGGTCATACGCTGCATCATCATTACCTTTGACATCACAATTTGGCACACAAAGTGTCAAAATGGCTTGATGAAGCTGCATTTGGGTTCTCAGGAGATGAAACAGACCACTTTCCACTAATTTTAAACAAAACTAACAGTTAGTGGTTTTTATACTGCTTTTAGAGGATAAAAAGGAACCATAATGAGGACATCTACCTGGTATTTATTTGTAATCAAGGAATCATGAGAAAAGAGGCTGGTGTGTGTTTGTGTGAGGTTGTCGAGGACGTCTGACACGAAGCCTTTGAATTGGCCTGAGGCTTACAGATCTAAGACACGCGTCAGGAGAGAGAAACATACCCCTGAGCGTGGAAATTCCAGACATTCAGGGTTCAGGTTGCAGCTTGCCTAGGCTCTAAGTCAGATTTCTTCACAAAACGCCACGCGGTACGATATCTGATCAAGGCATGGAGAATATATGTAGTGTGCAGCGGTAGGACTGCCTGCGTGTTCTCCATGTCTCTCGCAGCAGCAGAACACGGAACAAAGCGGCTGCTAGTACTTCATGTGTGTGCTTTGCATCATAGGATTATGATGGAGTATGTCATTTGGGCAGCTGTCCACAAACGTCCTCACATTCTGATCATGATGCACCAATCATGCCCACAACGTTGTTTTTAATAATTCTTTAACTGTATTTAACTTTATTTTCTTCAGTTTTGTAGCCTTGCTGCTTAGGACCAGGGTCAATGGTTAATATTAATTTCCATACAGTTGAGATGAAAGTTTGGTGGGATAGTCATGCTACATTAGCGGGGTGTGGGCTCTGAACAATGGCGGTCTCTTTTCTTATCTCACACTCTCCCAAGACTCTCAGCTGATATGGGATCAGCTTTTGGGATAAATTGTTTTCTTAACTGTCTTAAAAGATGTTGCATAAGACAAACAGCTTTCACATCAAGTGAGTCATCAAATAATGAGCGGTGCAAGAATGCAAGCAGCTGCAAGCGAGATGATCAGATTCCAACAATACATCAGAGCTTGGAAAATGTGTCACTGAATGCTGACACGCGGAACAAATGCATTAACTGGGCTCGTTCTGCTTCCAGTGGAGGAAGCAGTCCCGGCGGCGTGCAAAACACGGACAGTGATCTTTGAGATCCCCAGGAGCCACGTGGATCCCACGGCGGCTAATTTCCTGATATGGCCGCCCTGTGTGGAGGTGAAACGTTGCACTGGCTGCTGCAACACCAGCAACATGCGCTGCCACCCATCACGCAAGCACCACCGCACCGTTAAGGTAAGACAACAGGGTACACCCACACACGAGCACTTCCAATCATTTCATACCTGCAAGAGTGACTACACTCTTTTTGCTAACTCAAACCACTACTTTCCCTTTAAACAGGTTGGGTTAGGGTTAGGGTTAGACCTACCCTTACAACTTCCATTATTTTGCCTTTTCTTTAAAGTCTACATTATAATCACGTAGCATACTGTCTACCCCTGCTTCCCTCTATCTTTCCTGCCTCCTACCATTTCAACTGATCACCACCCTTGCTTCTCATCACTCTATCCCTTGTTTGACAAGAGTCCAAGAAAACTGTGCCAGGACATTGCAAAGAAGGAAAAGGAGTAGATGGGTGAAAGAGAAGGGGAGAGATGGTAGTTGGCGCCTTTAGCTGGGACATCTGTTGAAGGAACAGCTCCTGCCAAGTGTAAGACTCACAGAGGGACAGCAGGGGAGAAATGGTCTGGGATCTTGAGAGTGTCTCTGTGTCAGTGGATGCTGCCCAGTACGTTCTTTAGTGCCTGTATTTTCTGGAAGCAGTGTACCCAGAACTGACAAGGTGATGATGAGAATGAGAGAAAAACAGAAGCCTCCTTAACAGTGTGTGCTTGAGAACACATCCTTCTGGCTAGGATCAGAGAAGACATGATGGTAGGAGATGAGATGAATTTCTGATGTGTTTACACTGTGACCAAGTTGGTGAGTGGCTTTGTTAGGAGGTATGTGATCTGCTTTGTAGAAGTATGAGACAACCAGGCTGTAAACAGGACAGCACTTTGACTGTGTTTGTGTTCCCCAGTCCATAGCTGCACTAAATACTTGTTGCAAACGTTGAGATCTTGCCCAACCACTGGCAATACCTTTCATGCAGTTCTTTAAATATTTTTGCTGATAAAACAAACACCAGTTCCTGACATACCAGTACAAGCTACGGAGATTTCAGTGAGAAAATGAGGACATTAGACGTCCTCGTTGCTTTTAAACATAACGCAAAGAGATGAGGCGGCATTGACAAGCCTTGGGTTTCTGCTGACTCATATTTGCAACACAATCATGTCTGTCTGTCTACATGGAAGCTCACCCATCCCTACGTCTGCAAGATAGTTGTTGTCTGTTGCCCTCAATGGGATCTCTGTCTGTGATTGCAGTGATCTTCTTCTGGCTCTTGGAGAGTACAGACGCTTTTTTCCTCCTTTCCTCCCTATCTTATCCCAAGGCTCTTTGTCTGTCTTTGGGTGTACGGCGCTTCTGCATTTTTCTGGAAAATGGAAATTATTAAAAATAGACCTGGTCAGTTGGTCTCTCAACGCGATTGACAAAATTTTTTCAGCGATGAGAACGGGAGAAGGGGCTCCCGGATGCCCCTCTGGGACAGAGCCAGTTGGGCATATCATGGACTCCTGGAAACAGTGGAACCTGATCTGCCTCTCTCAACTGTCTGTAGAGGATTCTGAAGACGTCTGGATATTCGTGATGTTGTTGTCAGGTTTCTTGCTGTTTGGCCTGAGCGGTTACCTGGCTTACCAGAAAATTAATGAGCTGTTGAGGAATATTGGCTCAATCCCGGAGCTCAGGGATTGATTACACCGCGCTGTGAGCGCACAGACTCATATAATTGTCGAGATGAGTCATAAGCTTGGAACTTTGGATGAGGTTCAGACTCTGGCACAATAGGTGGATTCGATCAAGGAGAAAGTTGGCGGATCAGCACAGATTGGGATAGATAAATTATGCCATTATTGGATTTAACGGGGTTGAGAACTAACGGAACTTTAAGACAGAGAGGAAATTATCTCTGTCTGGCCCCAAAACAAGTTCTTATCTGAATCTGGTGCCCTTGAGCCTGTGAGGCTGAAGCGATTACTCCCCCTCAGAAGAAATGTGGAATGCTGCCGTCACCATGGCAACTCTGTCTCCCTATCCCAGCCTGGGCGGGACTGCGACCGGTGAAGGCCGTTGAATCGTTCCAGGAGTCACTGTGCTTTCTAAACCCAACTACCTCCCTCCCCTGTCCAAACGGAGGTGACGAGCGCTGCTTATCGTGGCTGCATGCACTGATGTGTGGAGAGTCCTCTATCCTACCGCCGCACCTAGTGGACACTTATGTTGTGTTATGTCTGAAGTCTGTTGCATTTCTGTCTGAGGTGTTTTTTGCATAGCAAAGCTGCCCTCCCTGTGGAGGGTAACTCTGGAGTGCCTTTTTTTCCCTCCATCTTACCCAATCCTCATATATAAACCCTCTGATCTCTATTAAGGTGGCGCGATTCGGGTTGCAAATGACCACAGTCACCAGTTCTTGTCATATGTCTAAGCCTATGTATGTCTGATCTCAGAATTGTGTGTACTGAAACTAAATTCCCTCTGGGATTAATAAAGTATCTTTGAATTTGAATTGAATGAGGAGGGATGGAAAGACACTGACGACGACTAACAGGACACTACAAAGCCTGTTTCAGCTATTCCTGGAATGTTTTAGTCTGCAAAGCTTTGTTTGTGTCCCCTTCGTGACACCAGAAACTGAATGAACACACAGACTAGAGAGGGATATTTTGAGGTGATGGCAGAGATGGGGGTTTCAGGGTGAGGGAACGCTTTTCTACATGTTCACGGGCCACTGTCGACAAGCCCAAAGGGCATTTTATCTGAGGGAAAAAAGCCATCCTTCAGGCTTTCTCTAATCAGAAGACAATCATTATATGGTGTGAAAGAAAGTCTGTGTCATGTCTAGGGGCTGGGCAATAAAATGATAGGAATTTTATATTTCGAAAAAACTTTCCCTCAATAAGCATATGAGAAAGGGCCAATAGAACTTTGATATAGCTGCACAACTCAGTAGCCAGACGGACACGCTGCTAACGGCTAATGTTGGCTAGTAAAAATAGAACAAAAACAAGCGCCCGAACGGGAAAAACGAAACGGAGTACTCAGCGAATGATGTCGTTGAAAATGAGGGACCGTTCAGTCGTGTGGACGTAGTTTGGCTAGTAGCAGCCACGAGTTAGTAGCGGCTGCTGCGCTGCTAACATGCTGAGCGCCGGTTCTGACAAAGTCGGAGGACACCACTCGCTGGAGCAGCAGAATGTAAAACGGAATAATCCCAGATGAGAGTGCGTTTGAAGAGATTTACTTTAGCCATGCATGTAACATTTATTTCTCTACACGACATACCAAACATGGAGATCACAGCAGACTAAACTAATAGATCCCTGCACAGTAGATTGCTACAGCAACAATTGTTTTCTTTTAAAGCTGCTTAAAGTTTCACTGATATAAAACATTTTGTTTTGTTTGTTTATTTTTGCTTAAAGGCATACAAGCAGAGGCATTTTGAGGATTTATATTTCGATGCCTGTCTTACTGAGTTCTGTTCTCCTGTTATGCTTGAAGAATTTAGTTTGAAACAAACATATTGTTTCAATTCAGCTGATATTACTTAGCTGTGTTTCCTATCTGGGAACTTATAATTGGCTTTTGTAGAGGTCAGACAAGGTCATTAAAGCACATCTGTGCAACCAAAGTGGAAGGTGTGCGTGGGTGAAACTGTGAGTGAGCACTCGCTGTTTCGCTACGTAAACTTCCCAACTGCAGAGCCGGGATGAGGCCATTTTTATGTGAAGCTGCAGCAAAGAGGAAGACAAGCCACAAAATAATGACGTGTTGATGGCTACCGGATCAAAGTGGCGGACGACAGAGGCCAGGCGGAAATAGCCACAGCGCTGAGTGTAGGGGTCCACACATCTCTCATCGCCATTGCCTGCCCCGACCCCCGACCCCCTACACACTAACACACACTGTTAACCCGGCGACAGGAGGTCACATATGGGGTGTTGGGGGAAGCAGTAGCTGTACTCCTGTGATGATGCGGGATGCTGACTTACGGGGTGTTTCATAAATAAGACTGTGGAGGTGATACAGTGGGAATGATTTATGATCATCCGTAGAACCGGGTGGGGTGCTGCGGGGGGTGGGAGGGCTTCACATGGGAGTCAGGGGCCTCCTTGTTTGAAGTGCCTCGCAGCTGTGAATTATTTTCCCTTTGATTCACTCAACCCTCAAGAGTAGATGGAGCAGGGTGAGGGAGTTTGTGTGTGTGTGTGTGTGTGTGTGTGTGTGTGTGTGTGTGTGTGTGGTGGGGCAGGTTGTAGACCATGGGAGTGTGTTGACCAAGCCAGAAGCCGAGGTTTGGCTCGCTCTGCACCGACTGGAATGTCTCGGCCCCAGCAGGGAATAGATGCAGAATATTTTAGTCATTTTTTAAACTCGTTTCTATGTTTCACTTCACTCCTGTCTTGTCCTCCCTTCTGCTCTTCAGGACCAACTTCATCCTCCCCCTCCTCATCTCCGGTCCACACAGACCGCTTCGGTCTCGGAGTCTGATTGTCTGTTTTGTGAAATAGTTTTTCACTCCCTCTTCACTCTGTCCATCTCTCCTGAAACACAGACGCTCTCATTTTACCTCTCAGTGCTCTTTCATTAAGCCCTGCTCACATTGCTTCACTTTCTTAGTGCTTTGTCATGTCTTCTTTGAAATGTAGGTTTTCTGTCATTATGCTTGAGAATAACCAAAATAGCTTTCTTTGGTTTTAAATGATCAGCTATTCTTTCTTTGGTTTAGGCCTGAATGCTTATGAAATGTAACGTACACATGAACCATGATGACATTTTTGAGAGCTGAATTGTTATAAAAGGACAGCAGTTCTCTGCAACATTCTTTGATGCTGTTTCATCTTTATTTTCCATCATTTGCCATGTTCCTGGCATTCTTATGAATTGCTTCATGAAACAAGTGGAACAAGCAGAGTTTCACAAAGTTGTCTCTGAGTAAAAGGCACAGAGTTTCTCTGTTGCCTCATTTCTCCCCTGATAGATGGATTTGTGACCTACCCAGCATCTTTCCACCCCTTCATCCAGCAAACATCAACATGTGCTTTTAAATTTATTTTCCTCCGTTCTGTCGCTGTTCCAGTTTGCCATGGCCCGTGGTGCATATCCACATCCCTGCTGTGTTTTGCTTGGAAGTCTGGAGCAAAACTTTCCCCTCCTTCACGCTCTCATCAGTGCTCTGCGCTCAGGGAATTCCCAATTAGCCTGACTTTGGACAAATGGCTTCACACAGAAGAGTTGTGGTGACACTGGGGACGGACCAAAAGGGGTGTGCTTCCCAGAGCCTCATGTCTCACCTCCAACCCTCTGGATCGGATATCATTCCACCACCACTCAGGGGACTCTTTCTCAGGGCCCCTGGCTTTCCAGGGAGTTTAGAGCAGTTTGATTTATGCAAAGAGAGTGTGGGGCCCCTTGTCGTAGCATCAGGGGTCTCTTTCTGATAGATGTTTTAAGTCACTGACTGCACAACACTGGAAACCAGTATGAAGAAGTAGCAAAAAAGTGACAGGAAAAACACATACTCTTAAAGATCAACAGGAAGATGACTCCTTCTCTTAAGGCAACCGTTTTCTTCTGTAACAAAACAACGGACAATTAGAGGAGAAGAAGAAGAAAAAAATATATCATTTCTATAGCGCCTCTCAAGATAAAAATCACGAGGCGCTTCACAAAAACAAAAAAATGTAAAAATATTAAAAATAATTTAGAAAATGGTTAAAAATATATTTAAAATGAGCAAAAAATAGACAATTGTGATAAAAAATGTTAAGAAAGAGAGAGAGTGAACAGGAAAGAGGGAAATCAGTGGATCCTGAGGAAGGTGGAATAGGTGGGGAGAGCAGAATAAAGAGAGAGTGGTGAAGAAGGTCAAACAAAAGCCAGCTTGAACAAGTGAGACAAATGAGCATCAACGGCTGTGTGGATGGTTTTAGCTCCTGCTGTGGAAGAGGCCAGAAGACAAGTGCACCACTGGGCTTCACATCATGTGCTTCATCCTTCTGTCAAGAGCTGTTTGTTTGTCAGACATTAGCATCAGCATCTCTCACGGCGAAGTCCCTGCCAACCTCTGGAGCCCCGTTAGCACGGAGGTTTCGGCATGCAGCCAACAGCAGCAGAGCCGTCGGGAAAACCAGCTGCAACTTTCATCCCTCTCTTCCTCTTCCTCTCCCTCTTCCTCTTCCTCCATCCCCCCCTCCTTTCCAGGCAGTTCGTTTGATTAAAACTGGAGGAAGCTTGTGTCACTCTGTGTTCCTTTGTGTGGTTTCAGTGGATAACAAAAAACCTTTGATGGCTTTTCCATCCATCACATCAGAGCTAGTTTAATAGATCTCTTAAGGAAGTAACCCCAACATTATATGTTTATAGATAACGGGGGAAGGCCACCTCATGCAAGCCTTGATCAAATTTTGACATTCTCCCTTCTTTTGAACGCTCAGGCATACATCCCAGTGTTTGCTAATGAGCATGGCTTTTCACCTTCCTATCATTTCTTCCTCTCTCTGGTCTTTCACCGCTCTCCTCCTCTTTCATGGCTTAGTAACAGCAAATACCACCAATAACCCAGACACTATTGTCTTCTGTTTGCTCACCACATACCTCCCCAGCTTGCTTATCCTCGTTTCACTCCCCCTTTTCATTCTGTGCTTCCACAGTTAGAAATTGTTTCAAAGGAGTGGCAACGCTTGCATCTCCACGCCTGAGTTCCAGCTGCTCCAGGTCACCCCGCAGAGAGCGGACTCAAAGTGATTCACTCTGTTCGTGTGAAATTTGACATTGCATGTTGTTATATCAGACGAGGCTTGGTATGTTGATTTGTCTGCTCGACTGGCTCGCCAACTACAACCAGGCATGACACAATACCGTCATGGAGTCGAGCCGCGTGCGTGCGTTCGCTTTATTTCAACGGCAAAGCTGTGCTGCTCATAACAGCAGGGAGTGCTGGGAGGTTGTCAGCCAATATCCTTTTCCCGTGCAGTAACAAGGAGAGGTGAATCCAAGGATATTGGTTCCACGTGGCCCCAGGGCCCTTCAGTGTTGGACGGAGATGCTACCTGTCCTTGGCGCTCAGATCAGAGAGGCAAAACTGTGTGGCCACCTCCCCTGAGTTGCACAACAATGTTCCCACAACCTGCGTGCAACCTTTTTCCACCTTTTCTAGGCTTTAATCAGGAGTGTATTGTTGATGAAAGATTAGCGTATTCATAACCCACAGAGGGCCAGTGATTACCAGCTGTGGAATGGGCCCTAAACTGGGAGGGCAGGAATTCCTGTATTGCTTGTTGTGCGTCTTAGATTATTTGCTTGGGATTTCTTTGCTTAGAACTGACCAAATATGTTTCTTGCTTGTGTGGAAAGCAGAACTTTCTTCAACTTATGCAACAATATGGTTTGAAATCAACATGTTGGGACAAGGTGAATGAGTTTAGGTGTCTGTTTGGATTTGGATGCTTCAGGCCCGAGCTAGGGGATTTCCCAGCTTCTTTTCTTGTGCCAGAGTAAACCTTCCCAGGACCTCAGGGTGTAGAAGACTCCTCGTTAGCCTCCATCTCATCAACAGGGTTGCGCTCTCCATTCAGCTGCACGCAGACCGTAGAGCACACAAGTGAAACCTAATGAATCAGCCTCGGAGGAATTCTCCCGTCACACTTCAAACATAACAAAGCAAAGAAATGGCTGTTTATTTAATTGAATTTGTTCATGGATGTGTCATCAGTCGTGGTGCGATACCTCTTGATGTTTGCTGGGGGGGCAAACAGAGTGTGTGTTCGTTGATGACATAGTAAAGAGTGAATGTGCCGGTTCCTGTAGCTGACCTTTCCCTCTTCTTCTTCTTCTTCTCAGGTAGCCAAGGTGGAGTACGTGAGAAGGAAACCCAAACTCAAAGAGGTTTTTGTGCGGTTAGAAGACCACCTGGAGTGTGTGTGCACATCACAACATCATGTGGCAGAGCACTTAGATGCAGAAACAGGTAAACATGAGCTTTATGTAGAGAATCCCAACTCATAAAATCAGTCACTGAGCTTGATGGCTGAGCCTCGCCCTCACGTCTACATCACTGTGCACCCATTCCTGCCTTTATCACGTGAACTTTATGGTCTTTTGTTTTTTGCTCTTGCTCCTTGGCTTTGCACTTTGTGAACCTGCCACCAACGTCTCCCAAACAGACATAAACACCTGTGAGATGGCTCATTGTTTTGGAAACTGTAAAGCATCTGTGTGTGATGGAAAAGTGTGTGTGTGTGTAAATTAGTGTGTTAAGGGTGGGTGTTCAAAGGCTGCTTGGCATGACAGCAGGTAAATCCGCCAGTGCCTTGATCTGAGGCTTTCTTCCACCTGGCTGCCGATAAGCGCTGTAATCTGTGCTGATAAGGCACCTGAAGAATTTATATCTTTGCACTCTCTGCTTCTGTCTCAGTGCCTCTTTATGTGTCATAAACCCTGCTTCTTGCTTTTAACCCAGCTTCCTATCCACCCTCCCCAACTTTCTGCTTTCAGGCCACCGTAGGGCTAAAGGTAAAAAACGGAAACCTAAAAAACTAAGGCCCACCAAGGACTTATTGGTGACATAATAAAGTTGCTCTCGTTATACAAAATCCACTGGGAGGCTGTGACGGGAACAGGTAGGACTCAAGCACCGCAGCCTTCTGTCTCCTTTTTGGTGCTGCACCGGTCCAATCAGGGTGTGAAATGGGCCTGCCAATCACCATCACCAATCACATCACAGCCAATCAGAGAGCGAAGGGGAGGGACCGACGAGTATCACGCTGCCAATGCTGCATGTTGAATTGGATTGCATGAACACTTTGTATCACAGCTTGCGATTGTGTGTGTGTGTGTGTGTGTGTGTGTGTGTGTGTGTGTGTGTGTGTGTGTGTGTGTGTGTGTGTGTGTGTGCGTGTGCACCTTCTGAGTTTCTAAAGCAGCTCTGCTTGTATTGTTTCACTACTTAAAAGTCAGCCTTCTCCCTGTATTTGCTTATGTTCTCCTTCACCTGTCATCACCCTCTAAAACACAACAGGCTTCCTTTGCCCTGTCCTTTACTTTGTGCACACACAAAATAACACACATGCAGGACTCTTAATTGGACATAATTGTGTTGAGTCTGATCAAGTTCTGCAGAATGTGGATGAACACGACTCACACGACCGTTGGTCTTTGTGTTTTTTGCCAGTTTTCTGCAAATGCATGAGTTAATTGAAAAAATGGGCTCTGAAAAGAAACATCTTGGTTTTAAATGAAATGTTTCATCTATGATGCCAACAGTTTTCTTTTCGTCTCTGTGTCCTACAGTGGACGTGAGGTGAGTCCAGTCAGAACAAAGGATTTCAGCATGGAAGGGACCTAAGAAAGAAGACGCCACCAGAAGGACGCCCTCTCATTGTCCCCTTCACCACCATGCAACCTTTGCAAAAGAACAAATACTTTTCTGTAAAGTGACTGAAGAAATAGACAAAAACTAAAAGATGCCAAAGGTGCTTTAACTAAAACAGTCTCTGTGGCAGCTGAACTGTGCTACTGATGAGGACGAGATGAGAAGACGCTACAAAAATCGAGTCGTGCCGAAAGACGCCAACGGATAAAAAAAACTAACTGTGATGAACTTCTGGGCAAAATTATTTAGAAAATATATTCACCTGAAACAGCCATCAAACAGTTGGATCGAGTATTCAAGGAAGGGCTCTGATGCAACACCGGTGCCCGCCCCTTTAATGGACTCAAGCAAGGGGACAAAAACAGGCACCGTGATGCAAAGATCACAGCAAACAAGTGCTTGAGAGTGTTTATTTTCCAAGACTCTCATCTGGAAATCAAGCATTTCAGAGACCTTTGGTTGCCTTTGTACAGTTCAATTAGAAAACAAGACGATGCACCGCTTCATACAAACTATTTATGTGCGTGGACTTTTGTTTCTTTCACAATTCAAGAAAGGACAAAGATGCTTTTGTAAGATTTTACAGACGTTCTGTGTGGTTCAGCTCTTTGCATTCATTATCACAATCTCAGTGTGAATTTGTAGTTGTTTTTTAATTTTGCTTGTCAACCATGTTTCATATCATATTGCAGTATATCTCATTAATGTCATGTGTGCAAGGAGAAGATGTGAGAGTCAGTACAGGAAGATGCTTTATTTTTGTTATCAAATATATTATGCATACTTATATCCAAACAGGAATTATGATGTTTTTATTTTATTTTGTAGTTTTTGAATGCCTGTATGTGGGCAGAGGGTGGAATAATCAAGTTAGAAACTGGCAAACAGTGTTTTTGGCTTGTTTGAATCAGAGTCGGGACATAAAGGGACAGAGAGGTGCAGACAGGAGGACTTAGTGGCTTTCCATCGAGGATTTATAGAATCAGTCACATTTTACACAAACATTTACACAATAACTGTACGTAAACTAAAACGCCTGACAAAAAGAACAACTGAGGAAGGGATAAAAGCAAAACTGCTTTATTGTCTTTATCGAAACTAAAAGCACTGAACGCAAAATATTTAGTTTCACAGGAAATCAAATAAGTTTTTCTAATTAATCCCAAATTCTGCATAGATTAAAAGATTGTAAGCAAATTCACTTTTTTTAATTATTATATTTTTTTACTAAAACACTTTTTGAGTTACCTAAAGATTTCCCAAAAATGGCAAAACTTTGTCACTGTTAAGCCTAATCTCCTCATTGGGTTCTGCTGTTATAGATTACTGCAGAAAAGAGAATGAATTCATCAACAACAAGATGCTCTTGATTTCTGAGACGGGTGGAAAAAGTGATAGATTCAATTTCACTTCCATGCCCTCTTCAACAGTCACTTCCTCTCTTGTTTAAAAACACTGGATGTTGCCATGGCATCACTGAGTTTGAGATTGGTCAATAGTTTCGGTCACAAGACCGAGTCCAACAGCAAGTACGACTTCAAAGTACCTCATTCACAAACTCCTAGTTGTAGTTAAATACTTTTGTGTGCACATCAGTTTTCGTGGTAAATTATTTCAGAAAGACACAAAAGTAACTTCAAAGATAACAGGTGTGTGTGTGTGTGTGTGTTCACACATGATTCCTGTGGAACAAGAGGCTGTTTTCACACATATCTCCTACACTGATAAGGAAGATGGCCACCCATTCCACTTCATCTGCTGTGCCTCAAAGAGCAAAGTCCAACTTAAAGTGAATGAGTGAGCAAAGCGCATCGACGGGCGCATGAATGGGCTCCTTGTTTGGCCGAGCTTTCCTCCCCTGTTGACAGGAGGACAAATCGCTCCACCCTGTGGAGGGACTCTCGCTTCAAGCAGCCGCATCCAATCAGGACAGATGATGATGAGTTCACCGAGGTGGTCTGAAAACATTACAGTGCAGGCCCGACCCCACACCCCAACTAAACAAACATCACTTCCTCACTGGTTCCTTTAATGGTGATGAATATGTAGCCAAGGCAACAACAACAGTCACCTTCCATCTCATGCTGTAACAAGGAAGTCACACTGGGATGGCAGCAAAAAGAGGAAATCCATCAATAAGTGAATGAAATTGAATCCAGTTGAATTGATCTGTGGCCACATCACATGTGAAAGTTTTTGTGACATCAGGGACCATTCTTAGAGATGTCTGATTCAATTAATACATGTCGGTATGCTCTTACTGTTTCCCAAGCTTCCACTGGTTAGAGACAGCAAATATTCATAATTTATATATTTATGCTTTCCAACAATAAACATGTTTCTGCTCATGAAACTGTTCACTGGATCTTCAGTCCTGCACATTGCGTCATATGCTTTTGAGGACGCATCAACCCAGTAAAATAAAACTCAACTAGTTCTGGTCAAAGCGGACCAAGGCCAAGACTTCACTCACGTTAGTTTAAACAGAATGTTGAACAAAACTAATCTGACTACCTGATAATACTAATTTATCCAAACTAATCAGCAATTCTATGTGCAAGGAGAGTGTGCCGTTTGGATTGCTCCTACCTGTTTTTGAATACCCCACAATGCAACCTAAAACCACCGCTGTCCTGGTTTGACCCACACTGCTGGTCTAAAAATCAGTTTGAATAAATAAACATTTTCATTTGTGAGCCTTTTGGCGCACTTTAGGAAAAGTAGTGAAATTTTAGGCTGAAGAATAGATGTTCAAGGTGTTTTTAAAGATTTCAAACATCAAACAGTCACGTCTGAGCTGAGCAGTGGCCCGTTTAAACCCATTTGTTCAGTTCACATGTTTAGCTCTGTGAAAATATAGAGAAAATGCTGATATTTTTTGTTTAAATGTGTTGGATTTAACTGCAAACATTCTGCCACTGTTGGTGCACTGGAAGCTGGATATTAGGGTGGTGATGTATACAGGAAATATAAGCTTTTGTAAGCTTGCAGGGCGAGCAGAAGCTGGGCTTTGCTCCAGTATCCACCAGCGGCAGACGGTAGGTTCATAGGGCTTTATTGCTTTTCCCAAGCAGCTCACCCTAATCCCATGGCTAAAGGACATGAAAGTCCTCCTCCTTTGCACTTCTCAGCTATACACCCATCTTATTACCTCAATAGGAAGCCAGATAACGAAAGGCAAAACATGAAAGAGAATGGATCAGAGAGACAGCAGTTCTTCTAGCCAGTAGAACAGAGGATCAAGTTTAAAAAGTAGAGATAAAAGAGAACAGCAGCTTGATTTACTTTATTGTTTTTATCTGACATGCACAGCTTTATTCACAAAGACGGGGCGGGGGGTGTGTGCAGGGAAAAAAAAGTCATATGTCAGAGTGAGGAGAGAAGGAAGGAGGGAGGGAGGAGGGGGGAACCCTGAGGAGTGAGAGTGCAATGGGATGGAGCCGGAGGGGGAAAAATAAAGAAAAGAGGGAATAGAGAGGACTCAGGATGTAGGTAATCGGCACCACAGCAAGCGAGGCCAGACAGGTCAGCACTTAAGTGGACGTGCGTTCATAAACAATACCAGCGGGGCACGAGGGTCAGGCAAGGTGTGAAGAGGGATGCTGAATGGGCTATTCTCGGGATGCTGCAGCACTAAAGGAGTGTACAAAAAGTGAAAGGTGTGACTGAGCACCCCGCTGAACTATTCAGAGAAGATTTCTGAAACTGGAATTTTTGGCTCCAGCAGAGAGCAAACTGTGATCAGGTCATCAGAAAAGTGAAAAGTGCTAAAAGAAGTCAGGTTTTAATCATCACGCTTCATTTTCATCCTTTCATAGTTGTTCTTACACTAAACTCAACAGAATGAACCAGATCCCTCCTTGGGATAGATGTCTTTTAACATTTCCCCTTCCTTCCCCCTTCCTTCCCTCCATTTGCCCCTGCCATGTTTCTCCTCTCTGCCCCAACCTGTGGCCTCTGGGTTTTGAGGGAAGGCAGAGGTGGCCTTTGAAGATGGCGGCAGCTGAGTGTGTCTGAGGCCACGGCGATGAATGCATGTCTTTGTTGTTCTCTCACTTCTTCATATCCCCTCCTCCCTGGCTTCACTCAGCATCCTCCATCTGCCCCCCCACAAACTCACACCACTGTGCTCATGCCCTCGCTGGGGCCCACTTTGCACAAATGACCCTGCTAATTATGTATTTAGGGTATTTGGCTCCTGTGAACCAGCTTTGGGTTAGTGGTGGCAGGCGGTGGGGGTGGCTGGTGGAGTAGAAGGTGTATAGGGCCGTGGTGTGGTCTCATGGTTATCATTACCGCCCAGCGTTGAATGTAAACACTGGATTAGAGCAGCGAGGGTTTATTTGGTAAAAGAGGTTGTGATCTCTGCCGGTGCTTCTGGTTCCGATTCTGGTTTCTGGTTTCGCTCAGTTCCTCACAAGCATTTTCATCTCCTCTCACATACAAAACAAGTCTGCCCTGTACAATCATCATCTGGTTCTGCTTTGGTTTGGCGACTCCCAACTGTTTCAGATTAGCAAACAGATTAAAATATCTGACAAAGAATAACTACAAAATGTGGTTGCTAAACGTTGCTTTCATTTATTAATCTTAACCAACATGGCTCCATGTAAAAAAGAGAGTGCTCCCCAAACCTAAAGACGTTGTGGCACCTTTGGAGGCACGTCTGATGACTGGTAACGCGCTTCCTGCATCACTGTGGAGGATTTCTGCCCCCCTCTAAGTAAAAAATGTTTTAATTCAGCCACACTGGAAGGTTTTTCAGCATAAGTAACCTGTTAAAGGTCAATGGTCAGACAGTCTCTTTCAGGATATTTAGCTATAGAGCAGAATTCATGGTTCCCCTAATAACAAAAAGTCTTCCGGGTGCTGAAGCAGCTTCAGACATCACACTACCACTGTGTTTGACCATTGGTGTGATGATGATGATGATGATGATGATGATGATGATGATGATATATACCCTTCTCATCCAGTGATCGAGCGAGTGAATGGTCACTCCTCTTTATTTGTGGCTCTGATGGACTGATGACCTTTCCAAAGTGTCCCAACGTCTCTTTACATGACTGAGTGTTTTAGGAAAGGTGAAATCATCTTCCCATTAGCAACATTAGTGATCAGTGATGTTGAATTTACTGGTAAACTTGTGATGCCAGCCGGCCACTAGCCCTTAATACAAAACGAGACAGCAGACATGCTCATTATAGCTTCCCCAAAATACAACATGGAGGCTTTTAGTGTTTACCGCCATTCTTTACACTTTTCTTCTTCATTATTCTCACATTTCTTCTTAACAGCTGCTCTAATTCCACCTTGAAGAAAGAAAAACCAGAAATAGACGCTAACATTTGCCTTAACTCTGATTTGATTTCCAGTTTTCACTATGACGATTACAGTGAATGAAACAAATCATAATTTTCGAAGAAATGACAAACAATATAACAAGAAATCAGGGATGATCTCAGCTTCTTATGCTTGACATTTGCAGTCAGAAGGAAATCAACTTTTTCAGCTTCTTGTAACTCAGAATGTTTCATAAATTAACAAGTATTTTTCCTTTGAAATACAGTCTGACAGAAATGAACCTAATCTCTCTCAGGTCACTGCAGCCTGACTGAAGGAGGGAGTGAATGAGGATGTGCTGCAGGAACTCCTGGGAGTGGAGAGGTCTCTGGAGGACGATAAGTCACTTTCTAATGAAAAGAGGAAGTTTGTATATGTCGTAATTACAAAGAGAGAAGCGTTGCTGCTGCTTGGTTTGTCTGCAATGAAAAAGAAACAGAGAGGAGTGTGTGGCTTGTGGAAAAAAGAAAGGAAGCTAAGATTACATCACCATTGATGAGGATTCACAGAGAGAGAGAGAGAGAGAGAGAGAGAGAGAGAGAGAGAGAGAGAGAGAGAGAGAGAGAGAGAGAGAGAGAGAGAGAGAGAGAAAGAAAATTCCCACTCACCCTCCGCAGGTGGTGCAGGGACTGGTATCATGTACAGAAACATCTGTGCAGAGAAAGTAAGTAAATCGTATTTATATAGCACTTATCACAGACATAGAATCACAAAGTGTCCCATTTTTTCTATTCTTTCTCTTTCTGCAGGTCTAGAAGCAGACTCTTGTTCATTATTGTTTATTTTTGTGGACCCCCTCCCCCCATCTCTCCCCACCTTTTGTCTTTTCCTTTCTCTTTCACCTCTGACTCCATGTCTGGTTGGAATTACAAAGCATTCAAAAACAATGACAACTAGAAAAATTACATTTATTGCACAAATGCTGTTTGAATGCTGGATAGCTGAAACTGTAAGCTGAAGCTGCTGAACAGCTGAACTGAAGCTGAAACAAAGCAAAACTGTCAAAATGAGCTGAATGTATTGAAAGATGTAGAAGCAAAAAGCACCAACAAGCAAATAAAGCACAAAAAGTATAATAAGAAATAAGAATTAAAAAAACTTTAATCTGTGAACATTGTATAAAAATCTGGACAGCTAAAATGTCTAAACACATGTTATTTCAGTTTGCCAAGTTTAACAGTTTAATCTTTACATTTAGCTGAACTGTGAAATTAGCAGTTTATGCTAAATTTGGTATCTGATTGCTGAAGCTGTTGAATAGCTGAAGTAAGCTGAAACTAAGCTAAACTGTCAAATGAGCTGAATGTAGTGAAAGATGTGAAAGCAAAAAGCACCAAGAAGCAAAAAAAAGCACAAAAAGTAAGTGAAGAATCAAGAAAATTAATCCTAAATAGCAGAAAACTCAAATCTGTGAACACTGTTTAAAAAAATTGGACAGCTAAAATGTCTAAACACCTGTTATTTCAGTAGGACTATAGTTTAACAGTTTCATTTTTACATTTAGCTGAACTGTGAAATTAGCATAATATGCTGGACTCAGAAACTAATTGCTGAAGCTGAAACTAAGCAAAACTGTTAAAATGAGCTGAATGTTTTGAAAGATTTAGAAGCAAAAAGCACCAAAATGTAAATAAAGCACAAAAAGTGAAGAACTGAGAAAACAATCCTAAACAGCAGAAAACTGAAATCTGAACATTATTTAAAAAGCTGGACAGCAAAAATGTCTAAACACTTGTTGTTTGAGTAGGACTAGTTTAACAGTTTCATTTTTATATTTAGTTGAACTGTGAAATGAGCAGCATATGCTGAATTCAGAAACGGATTGCTGAAGCTGCTGAATAGCGGAAGTGAAGCTGAAACTAAGCTAAACTGTCAAAATGAGCTGAATGAATTTAAAGATTTAGAAGCAAAAATCACCAGCAAGTGTAGTAAAGCTCAGAATATAGGCCAAGAATGGATAAAAAATGCTAAACAGCAGAAAACTTTAATCTTTGAACATTTATTAAAAAC